CAACAGATGTTATTCATGAAGAAAAAATAGACAATGAATGATTTGGGCACATTTTAAATATTTTAACACAGAGCATGTAAGTCAGGCCCTATATTACCTTTACCTGACCATGATGAAAAGCTACTATGTATAAAATCATCCTAAATAAAAAATAGCCTAATAGATTTATTAAGAAATACCAGGTAGAGACAAATAATGGTTTGTATTTGGTTTGATAATGGTTCTTCTATCATGTATTTGGAAGGTATTTTTCTTTAAAGCTTCATATCAAAAAGTTTATCTCCTATATTAGAACATGACAACTAAAACACAAGTATGGTTCTTTGAAGTTTATAGCCTCATGCCATTCCTTCAAGTAGATTTAACAATATCATTTCATGATTCTTCATACTTGAAGTATAGTGTATAAAATACACTTTATTTTTAGTTAACCAGTTTCCTTGAGGCACTTTTAGATTACTAAAAGCCCAATTTTCCCAAATCTGTTACTTTTCATAGTTTAATTCTTTTAAATGAAACTTTGATGTGAAAATGAGTCAACTTTGTACATGCTAAAAAAATAAGGTAGGGGAAGTTAGAGAAAAAATTTCTTCATCCACAACCTACCTTTCAAACTCCATCTTTGATTGTTCTTAGTTCTATTATAATACAAGTTGCCATTCTCTCTGCTGGACAACCCTAACAAATTTTCTATGGAAAATCAAGAATATATTGCCAATATCACTCTGGATAAATTTCCATTGATCATCGATTTGCTCGAGCAGGCCCAGTAATGTCTCCATTGGAGACTTTGTTGTTACTGTGTCTGGCATATCTAATCTCCTAGTTACAGGTGTTAAAAAAAAATAGCTCAATTTTAAAATAGTCCTCCCACTGTTGAATTCTAAACCAACCCATTTATCTGATAAGATCCCCTAACTCTTCTCTCTGAGGGAAAGCAGATTTGCCTACAAAAGTCTTTCTTTGGCTGATTACCTTATCTTACCCTCTTTCTGACTACAAAAGTCTTCCTTGTAGTGTCTACTTTCAGATAGTATGCTGCCTGATGCAAGCATTTTTAAAGCTAATTTGGACACTATATTTAGTCTAATGAATTTTGTTATATACTAATTCACCAATATGTCTTCCATACTAATTCTACATGTGCATGCACAGACGAGTGACTGCTAAAAATTGCAATCTGCTTAATTATAAAATGTCTAAAATTATAAACCAGACAGTCACCCTATTCTAAAATATTCACTAGGAACATTACTAGAGAATTTAGTGGACTGTTTACCATCCATGTTATTGTTCTTCTGAGACAAAGATAATTTTACTGTATCTATTTTCTTTCAATAATCTTATAACAATAATTTTATTCTGCAAAATTTTAAGTACTTGATTATTGCAGGTAAATGATTCAATAACACTGCTCCTTGAACAGTAAAACTGACTGATGACATTATTTCATCATTCCCATAAAGAAAAATTTAGGTTTTGAATGAAGGTAAATTCTTGAGGTACTATATCTAGATTTTATTTTTATACTATAATAAAAATTAAGATACATTTTACTGTCTTCTCTACGCCAGGTTATGTGGGATAGGTGATAGAGTAATTCTGTTTGTGGAACTCTAGTCTCTTGGAAAAACCAAAGCAATAATATGACAGGAACATGGCTATCAAAATTCACAATAACACCTTCTAAGTGAAGCAAAGTATACACTGCAAATCATCTAACAATCAATAGCAACAGAGGCTTGTGGCTAAATCATACCAAAATCAATAACCTCTCTACGTATCAGGGAAAGACTTTCATCATGGACAGTTTTACAGAGAGTTAAACATTCCCAACATTGGCTGTTTGAATATAAAGATTATGAAATAGTTCTGGAATAGTACACAGAGACGTTTCCATTTGTTTTGAAAGTCCGGTTAGATTAGTATTTGGCACTTTCCATGACCAGCAGATATTTCTAAACCTGTGATTGATAAATGAGAATCTCCTCCTCATCCTAATTCCTTCTTTATAGTTGTGGCTGTGAGTGGTCATGTGACCTTTCATGAGCATGAGAAAATGACTACCTGATTATATCTTAGTAATCACTGCAATTTGCTTAGAATCTCAAGTATTTTAAACAGGTGTGTCTTATAATGCCTGCATATGATTAAGGAGCTAATGAAATCTCTGACCATAGGCAATGACTTTTGAGTTTAATATAGAGTGTCCCAAACCAAGTTAGCCTCTGTATCATTTATTATTTTATGGTCATGCTAACCTGAAATGCTTGCCTGTCCTCCTAATGTACAAAATTTGAAACAACTATTCAATGTTGGGCTGGAGCGATAGCACAGCGGGTAGGGCGTTCGCCTTACACGCGGCCAACATGGCCGACCCGAGTTCGATTCCTCCGCCCCTCTCGGAGAGCCCGGCAAGCTACTGAGAGTATTCGATATGCCAGACACAGTAACAACAAGGTCTCCAATGGAGACGTTACTGGGCCCGCTCGAGCAAATCGACGATCAACGGGAGGGCCTTTACTTTACCTTTTATTCAATGTTAGCCAAAGGCCTCAACTCCTTGCTAAGTTTTTCTCTTGTATAATACTGTCCACCTCAATCAGGTTATTTCTTACTTTACTGACACTATTCTCACCTATAAGTTAACTGGCATGTTGAAAATAAATTTTTCAGGAGTAAGGATTTACATAGTTTTCTCCCTAGCATATAGCTCTGTATTCACCAAGTACCTCTTACTAATTCTGCTGAATCTCAAAATCAAATCTCTGCAAAATAATTTTGAATTTTATAGATCTAGTGAGGTCTAACCTATTCATTCCCTAAAAGAAATGGACACTTTTTAATATAAGATAAAATAACATAATTATAATTGCATAGAATAAAAATAATTTTCCAAATACAAACTATCATAAATTACATTTCTCTTCATGTCAATTCATATCTCATTTTTGAAGTGGTTCAGACTTAGCAGGTTAATCAAATATCATTCATTTAGAGAAAACGACTCACTTTCATTAACCAAGTAACAGTAAATAAGACAGATATGCCACAGAATTTCTAAAACCAAGTTTGGACTAAAGAGTTTCCCCCACAAGGAATCTCTTCAAAAATATGAAGTAATAGAAATTTAAAGCAGGGTAACTTTAGGAAATACTCTTAAAATCATCTCTCATCTTTAAAAAAAAAATCTTATTTAAAATGAGAAAACAAAGACCCAAGATCAAGAAGTTACTTTGCAAAACCTCAATTATTCAATATATGAATATGAAAACCACAATGTAATTTTAATTGTAGTTCATTGTTTTTTATATAGCACAATGTATATATGTAGTTTAGTTATAATTTTGTACAAAATGGATTGACTAGCACTGGACACCACCATACATAAAACATGCACATGAGGATAAACAAGTGCATGCATACTGCATTCCATGATAGACTCTCTAAATTGGCACAAGTGCACAACACAACTGTTCTTAACTCACGAAATTTCAAGATGATTTTTTCCAATGATTAGTTTGTAAAATATAAGCATTTCTTACCTGGCAGCTGTATGAGGGACTGATAAAAAACATTAAAAACTTGAGCTATGATTAGACATCAGATGTTTCTCTGAAACTAATTTTTGCTTCTTCCTATGTTTCAGTGGTGTCTAGCAATTTTAGTAAAAAGGCAGACCAGAGACGAATCACACAGCTTATTAAGACTTTGTCACTGTTACCCACATTGCAGTGTTAACTGCAGGTAATTATTACTAAAATATTCTTATTAGATTTTTTTAAGCTCTGCTTTACCATTATAAGTCATTTATTTAGGTTAGAAAGCATAAGTGGGAAGTTGCTACATTATCCCATCTTTGACATTTTAACAAATGAAGGTACAATATTAACTTTTGTGCTGCAAAAGTGAATTATCTTAGTTGTGGATTGAAGAGTTAAACAAAGTTATTAAGATTTTCTTAAACCATCCAACTCAACTACCCATACAGCACTATTTAGAAATATGTATTTCAAAATAAAAATGCTACCCTCTTAATATAGTTAATAAATCCCCATGAATCTACAACAAGATGTTTTCAATCCCATCCCCTGACAATATGATGTCAACCCTCCTTTAAAAACACCCATCCTGATGCCTTAGCATCTGTTAAAGATTTAACCACCTCCATGAACTTCCTCTGCCCTTTTATATAAAAGCTCACATCTTGACAGTTTTAATAGGTACCCAGGAAAGAACAAGAAGAGTGGGGGAGAAATGCTCATTCCAGTTGATCTTTTCCTTCTAAATACTAAGGCACATAAAAGAATTAATCAGTAATAATAGAAACCCAAATGAAACAGAACAGCAGTTTTTCACAGCTCTGAACTACTATAAGAAATTCTAAAAAACAGTGTTATGACATGCAACACACACACACACACAGAAAATTTGGTCATTACTCCTTGAAATGTATTTAAAATAAATAATTTAGTATTTGCATTATCAAGATTGTATTTGTTTACATCAAAACCAAGTCGTTGTTCATGCTGATGTATCTGTTTCTTTAGTTTTGTCCCATAGCTTTGGAAAAGCAGACTGATTCTGGAGCAAACATCAATAAAATGTATTCTGTGATCTTGAAATCATTTGAAGAAGAATCCAAATATTCTCCTAACTAGCCTTTCCTAGAGAAGCCCACCAAAGGATGACAGAATGGATTCATTCCACATTTGCAATGACTTTCAGTCCCAATGGGAAGAAAGACTGAGAAATAAAGAAATTAAAACACCACTTTCACTTAGCAAGTTTGGATAATGCATGAAGAGTGTTATTTCTCTTGTGGAACTGTCATTAAAGAGGAGCAAACTGGGTGCTTTGCTCAACTTGGTTAATAACAATAAAGATGAGTTCAGTAGCTATATCTTTACTTCCTTGAAACCCCATCCCTCCCCCACCCCCTGCTTTCAGAATTAATCTTTACAATGAGACAGATTAGATTAGAAAGCAAAGTTACTCACCATGGAGGAATCACTGCTTCCACTCCCGAGCGGAGCTCCCTCAGCACAGGTTGGGAGGTGGGTAGAAAGTTGACTAGCCCTGCCCCCATCTATGACATCACAATCTACCTCATAAAAGGTAGTGAAAGTGCTCTGAACTCCTGTCTGATTTCCGAGAGATACAGAAAAGAGAGAGTGAGAGAGAGAGCAAGAGAAAAAAATAAAAAAAAAAAACGTACCCTACTGGGAAGGGGCAATCGGGAGAAAGAGGCATCGAAAGAATATGGTGTTGAAAGAGATAATGAGTAGGCCTCCGTGATATTAAGCAGCTTGGCCATTTGATTCCTCATTGGTTCTCTTGAACTGGATAAATGGACCATCTGGGAGAAAGGAGGATGAAAACTTGCCAAGCATTGTAGGGGACAATTGCAGCAAATGTCATAAGGGGATGAGTCTGATATTTAAAGCATTGTAGATCACCAAGAGAGAAAGCAAGGGCGCAGCTCTTATAGCCTGGAACAGTATAGTATGTGGGATCTCAGATGCCTTTTTTGAAAGTTCCATGGCCCTGCTGTGTGACCATCATCAAACCCTCTGCACATCTGACCAATACATGGTACTAAAGGGATACTTACCTCTTGCAGTGGGATTACTGAAGAATATTAGTGCATTCATTGTTTCTAGAACTGCTCTTCTTCCATTGTGCATTCAAGGGGTGGGTTGTGTGACAGACAGTTAAAAAGATATACCTCTTATGCCTATTTATATATTATGTGTATCTAAATTGTATCTTCTACATAATAAGCTACTGAGGATATTGGCTGTTTTTCTGTGTGTATACCAATATATGTATATATATACACACACAATGTATATGAGGGTTGTTAGAGTCTGTATTTAAAATTGAAGTAAAATCAAGTGGTAAGATTTCTACAATCAAAAGGTTGCCTTCCAAGTCACAATTGACCTTTAGTGGCTCAGCAATGCTACCTTACTCAACCTTTTTGTTAGGTGTGATTGTTTTATAGTCATAGCATTATAACTTTGTTTAACTCTTCGTCTAGTTACTTTGAGAAATCAGGAAAGTAGTATAGAACCAATTTTTCTTTTAAATGAAATTGTAGATTAAAATTACTAACTAAAAGTTTATATATATATATTAAGGCAAGACAAAAGGAAGAGTGATAATGAGAGCAGATGTCCTGAATCCATATGGTAGCCAAATATTACTCTACCCAATGGACCACATAAAAAGTGACACCATCTCTTTGTTCACAGTTAACTATTCTAACTTCCAAGCTTGCAAGAACATCATGACAATCACAGCATTATAAAGAAGTAAAGCTTGCTCTGTTTGGAAATAAATAAAATTCTTAGTTGGGATATTCTTTGCCTTAAACCAATAAATTATTTCTAATCTTAATGATCCTAATTCATTAAATGTTTAAGTTTATTGATCACGTTTCAAAATTAAGCAAAATTGGAAGATTCGGTAGCATTTTGATATAAAAAGACCACTGATTTTTTTAAAGAATCTAGATTTGGCACAACACTTCCTTCTATAATTCCAAAACAATGATTAAAGACTAAAAATGTAAGTTGTGACTCACATGTATGACCATGAGTTCAATTACTGTTACCACAGAGACACAGTGTTAGAGACAACAGAAAAATATCTGACATTTAAGAAAATTTCTGTTTTTCCTATTTTTTTTGTTTTCCATATGCTTGATATGTTATTCTATTTCCACATTGAATAATTTTAATTGCGTGAAATTTCACACTTAATGGTGAGAGGCAGTCTAAATTTGTTCAATATTTACATATTGTATCATTCACTGGTTGGCTTATTCTTGCTTTTTTGTGATGTAATAAATCCCAGTTAGTCCCTGACATTTTCATTGTAGGGAATATATTCTTCATTTGTCAGAATTTCTAGTTTTGAAATGATTACTATGTATTAGAAGCTTATTTGGGTCATCACACCTCTCATGAAAAATCTTAGCGATTTTAAGATTAAAATAGATTGTCCATTCTTCTGATGAACATATGAAGATTTTTACTGATTGACAATGGTGCCTTCTGTCAAAAGTATTGGATCAGAATAAAGGGATGATAAACACTTGCTAAATAATGATATACAACAAATTGGATTCAGCTTATAATTAATCTAAGGTATTTCTTATTTTCTATTGTTTATTTAGAAATGGAGCATGCTTCAGGAACCCAATGCAAAACTAGGCTGCATCAAAAAGGATGCAGAGTGGCGAACTGTGCTGATTATTTTAGGAGAACTTAGTAGGATTGATTGTGATAATGTCTTTAGTTATATTAGTTAAAACTTTCTTTGACAAGTAATGCAATAGCCAACATCAGATCATTTCTAAATCCTCTTAGGATCTAGTATTCTGTCTCCTGACAACCTTCACAAAAACTGTCTTGCTGAAATAATGAATCTGATGCATACTTCCATGATGCCACAAATAATGAATGCATTATCTTATGAAGACAAAGTATGAAGTGATTTTAAGATGTTGAAACCCCAATATTTAAATCATAATTATATCAGTCAGATCAAGTAGATACTAGGCTGGTTTCATTTTTTTTGTTTCCTTACTAAAATTATTTTGAAAAATGAACTTCTTAAAACTGGATTGATCAACAAGTCATTTGGAAGTATTTCTACGTTCCAAAAGAAAAAAACTGTGGATATATTTCCAAAGTAGGTCGTCATAAAACAGATGATGAAGCATTGGCAAGATATTTGACCAAATATTATTATTGAAGAAATGCCTCAGCAAGAGGTGGTACAATTAATTTAGATAGCAACAGATTCGAATCAGGAATTCCTTGATAAAAAGATCCTATTTTGAGTTTGACTTATGATAGAACTTCACATTAATGTGAATGTTGGACTGAAAAGAGTATGATTCTTAAGATATGAGACTTGACTGGAACTTCTCCAGGATATTATTAGTTTCAAAACAGATTTGCAAAAGCAAACAGATGAAAGAGGTCAAGAAGCAGGTTGTGCAGATTTGACAGAACATCTAGACAGAGTTTCAATCAATTTAATTATCAGCAAGATAGCTAAAAGGTAAAAGTATTTAGACAAAAGGAATAAAGATATAGTATTGATGATGAAAAGCCAAGATAAAAGTTTGAGAAGGCAAAAGCATGTTTTAGGAAAGTAGGATAGGAAAAAATATTTGAAATATAGTTATTTCCCAAAAGGAAAGTGGCTATTCGAGATAGAGTAAGACAATGCATAAGCAATAAAAGAAATCAGAACTAAGAAAATTCCACATTGTCCATCCAGAAGTTTCCTATTTGTAAGACACATGAGAAATAATGTGGCACATATATCTTGTCTAACAGCTATGATCAAAAGCTATTTTATAAATCATTTAAATTAGGCTGGAGAAAGCATTTGACAAAATCTGTAGGGACAATGTAGATGATAGTAAGTTAAACACACATTTTTATTTCTAGAATGTAGTAAATCACAAAAAAAACACTGAATGTACAGAGATAGCCAATAACACACTGCTATTCTAGCTGGGAAAGCTAAACAGTAAACTAAAAAAACAAATGGGAAAAAAGATACAATAGACCACTACAATAAAAGCACAATGGACAGAAAAATTATCCCTTTCATGGCAGTCACTTTCTATTAGGCACAAAGAACTTTGAATGCCCTCATCCAACCAGTATTTAGCACCGTGTCTTTTACATAGTTGGAACACAATAGAAATGTTGGATTCGATGAATTAGAAAACAATTTTATGTGAACAAGTAAATGAAACTCTTTGAAGCTCTGTTCATTGCTTCACTGAAAATCTGAAACACACGGTACTTATCACTGAATTCAAAATTCTGTCAGTTTTTCTTTGGGGTTTCTTTATGTATTGAATTGCACTTTGGGTTATGTGAGGAAATATGAAATTGTGCAAAATCAATAATAAAATGTACAGATATTTTAATATTTCTGTAAACGTGTATTTTAATAATCTACTTGTTCACATTTTCACTTTTTCTTCAACTTCCTTCAGTCTTGGAATTCTTGGGATATGTCCAAGTACGAACAAGAAAAAAAAAATCACAATTCATTCAGGTAACCAATTCAACATAATGTGTTTCTTGACTAGATCTAATTAATTCAAGTGTATCCAGGAAAACCAGAAAGCAGAACTGAATTATAGATGTTGTTTCTAAATAAAGTTACTCACTCAACAGTTTGGCTTCCCATGGCTATTGGGTTTAATTGAAGGGAACATCTGGGCCTATTCTTACATAACCCAAAAATAGATTAAAATGAGGAGTTCTAAGGTACTATTACAATTATTTAAAATGTATCAATAAAGATCATCTTATAAAAATCAGTTATCACATATATACACTGTCTCACAGCAAAATTCTATAATCTAATACTTCATAAATAGGCCTACCTATGTTTTTCACAGATATCAAAAGACATATGCAATGATTACCCCTCATCAGGTTTCTCAACATTTTACTAAAGAATTAATCTAGGGAAATAGATAGATAGTACAGTGGGTAGGGCAATACTCTTACATTGGGCAATTGATCCTTGGCACTCCGTATGGTTCCTTCAAGACACAGCCAGGAATAAAACCTGAGTAACACTAGTTACTTCCCCATGACCAAAATAATAACAGTAACAATAACTTAAATGTAAGGCAGTAATTACTCATATGTTAAAATATCTGGGCAGACAGCCTCACATGCTTGGGGGAAAGGCAGCGGGGACGGAGAAGGGACCACCAAGTAAAGGATGCTTGGAGGGCTTGCTTGGGATGGGAGATGTGTGCTGAAAGTAGCCTCTGGACTGAACACACAGCCACTTAGAACTGTATTGCAAACCATGACACCCAAAAGAAGAGAGAGTAAAAGGGAATGTGCCTGCCACAGAGGCAGGGGAAGAGATGGGATGGGAGGTGGGGGGAGGGATACTGGGAACATTCCTGGTAGAGAATGGGCTCTGGTGGAGGGGTGGGTGTGACTGAAATGCAATCACAAAAGTTTGCAACTCTGTAAAAACTTTAAAATAGAGGCTGGAGCAATAGCAGAGTGGTTAGGGCATTTGCCTTGCATGCAGCCGACCTGGGTTTATTGCCAGCATCTCCTATGGTCCCCTAAGCACT